CAGGTCTACACTGTTCTCAAGGCTTCCTGGGTCCTGTGGTCAGAGGCTAGGAAGCCAAGGAGTATTCATCATCTGTTTTCCCAGCTTCCATATGGAGTGACTTTGATGTGTTCTAGTGGTTGTGATGTTCTTGTTCCTATTGATGCTTAATAACTTTTTGGGTTTTGGTCATTTTTACAAAAATAATGAAACCCGTTTAAATGAATGGCGGTGGGCCTTGGCCATCCATGCCAATAAACAGCTTTTGCAGCAGAGGGTTTTGATCAACCACAGAAAGCTATTACTGTTTTAGTCTCGTGCCCTACATATTGTATGCAACAAGAGAACCATTTCAAGCACTGAGATTTGCCAAAACGCACAGATTTTATTTAAAAAAAATAGTTAAATAGTTTAACTTTTTTAGTTAAAAAAAAAGTCTTAAATGTGTTCTAAGCAATTTGTGAATAGGGATATCTCCCAGTTTAGTAATCTCTTTCCTTTCTTCAATTCTTTACTCTGGGCTGAGGTTTTATGGAAAACAATTTCTGTTTCACAGAGGTATTTCCTTTTCTGTAGCTTTCTCCCCATATATCTTTTTTTTTCCTGGCAACTGCAAGTTTATTACCTCTATAGCTGTTCTTTATCCTCTCCTCTGTTCCTTGTCCCAGGAACATTCTGGAATCTGCTGATCTCTGTCTTGAAGAAACATTCAGTAGTTTAATTACACAGATTCCTTGGATGTAGCCTTATTCACATTTTCAAGGGGCTAGTGACTTAGATGCTGTAACACCTGCAAGACAGCATTTGGTTTTAATTTTGACTAACTTCTGTGTATATTCTTACAAACTACATAGTTTTTACTGCATTTTATAACCTTTACTTAATCAGTTTGTGTTAATCCATTTTTCCCTTGTAATGTTCGATGATACTAGGAAATTTCATCAGAAAGTAAGGTAGAATCTCAGAGGATTACAGTATTCTAGCAAACATGCCCGAGTTTGGGCTGGCAGGGGGAGAAGGAAAAGCTTCTGCTAGCATTTGTCTGGCCTCTGGAAGCTGAAAGGTAACATATTCTTATTGGTTCACTTTGTGGCCCAAGGCAACGATCATCTCAAAGAGCCTACCCAGAAGAGCAGGGAATGTGTGTTGAGGATGTAAATGGGAACCGGAGGTCTCAGCTTTCAAATCCAGAAGGCAAACTGTAGGAAAACATATTTCTTACTTGTCTGGGAATAATGTTTTGAAGATAAAATGAAACAAGAACAAGACTGTTGAAATGCAGATTCTTCTATAGGGACTATTCTGCAGCAAATCTGGTATTAGAATAAGAATTATCTTTCTTAGTGCAGAATAGTGAACTTTCAAAAGGGGGGAAAATTACTTATTCTAGAAACTGTAATATAGTTGAAAAAAGGTAAAAGGAATTAATGGTTTTACACCTTGTTTTTTGATAAAGTCTTGCTTCTGAGGTGGTGTTTCTTTGAAAGTTCTTGCATACATTACTGCAGAGATGATTAGGTTGGATTGATGATCTTGCAAGCACTTGTACATCAGTATCAGAAATGCAGTTTCGTTGCACAAGAACACATTTGTCTTAGCTGGTATCTGCTATTGTTAATATTTGTGCCTTATTTGTCTTTATTATTTTGTATAAGTGCTAGGGATACCAACGTCAGTAAAGTCTTTTAAGATCATTGAAGGAAAATCACTGTAATTGTAATGCTATGGATAGTTAAGAATCAAGGAAGAATATTCAAATACTTAAGATGTTACAGTTGAAACACAGATATAATACTGCCCAAACTGAATGTCTGCATTTGAGCTAGTTGAAGAGGTGGTTGTACCCAGATACCTGAAACTTAGACAGTATAAGATGATTTAAATCTCATAGAATCGTTTAGGTTGGAAAAGACCTTTAGCATCATCAAGTCCAATCATTATTAAGCACTAAATATTTTCTGATTGAAAAATACAAAAGCAAAATCCTGTAAAGACAAAAATTTGTGAAATAAAAAAATAATTTAAAGCTGATACTTCCCAACAAACATTCTTCTAAAAACTGTAGATGAGTTTGTAAATGGTCTTAATTCTTGTTTCTTTTATACAGTTGAATAATTACCTCTGAATTACTCTTGTAGCTCTCTTCTCATTCTTTCTACTGGATGCTGCCCAGTGTCCTGATGTGCCCTCTCCTTCCTGCATTTTCAGCCTCTGCAGGTTTGACAACATGGGACTAAAAAGAGGGAGTTTGCCTGGAGCACAGCTCTGTCATGGTTCTGGTTGAGCTGGTGTTAACACCACTTTGACTACTCCTTCCTATCAGTCTTATGCCCCTTTCCTGTTGAATAATCAAACAGAAAATTGGGTGGTTGAGCTAATATAAATCTGAAAACCCTTTTTGACTGTTCTGGGCTAATAGAGAGGCCTTCTCTTTTTGGATTTATTTTTCTTTGCTTGCTTCCTTGCTTGTTTGTTTGTTTTTTCCATATAGTCTTGTGTCCTGTTTCCTTTCTAGGAATTGTATTCCTACCTACTTTTCTTTGTCAGTAGAGGGTAGCTGATCCTTGCTCTGAAGCCCTGGCCTTTGTGGTTGTGGGAACCGTAGATGCTTCTAGCCAGCTTTGCCAGCTGGGGAGGCCCAGCTGCATTTGCTAGGCCTTAAAGACTTCTTGGCTGTTTGCTGCATTTCTTTGCTATCTGCTACATTTCCATGTGGTCTGAAAGTTGAACATGTGAGAGCCGAGAGTTGCACTTGATGATCCTTCTAAGTCCCTTCCAACTCAGACTTTTATATGATGCTAATTGTTGGAAGTAGATAAGTAGATCTAATTACTCCAAGGTGTGAATCAGCTGAGAAGCACATCTTTACATGTATTTGAATTAGTTTTCTGTTTTGAGCTGGTCATTCACTGTGTGTTAAGGTGCATAATAGTGCTGATGTGATGGGAGTGAGTGAGGGCAATGGGGGACTGATAAAACTTCCCTTTTGGTGGCAGATAGCAACCCACTTGCATAACTGTATCCACATTCATAGGTCGTGCTGCCTGCTCAAAGCACCAATACAACCAAGTCAAGTTTAAAAAAAAAGGGGTGGGAGTAGGTTTAGGCTATAATTTGCACCAGTGGTACTCATGGCAGTTCAGTCTGTCTTCTTGTCTGCGAGTCACACAATTCCCTCTTACAGGTCATTTTGGAGTTATATAGTGAACTGGATCAGGGAATTTTTCTAGCTGAAAAATTTATTTACAAGAAATTTATTTACCTTTAACCCAAATTAACTTCCCCTTTCGTTCACCACAGGGTTGCCGAGCCCATCTGTGTGGGCAGCGGGAAAAGAGCATCATAGGGATGGGGACAGGGCAGGAAGGCTGCAGTGCCAGCTTGCTTTGAGTGAAGTGAGTGGAGCTGAGGCACGTAGCTTGATGGTGCCATTTCCTGCCATGTCATTCAGCTGAACTGATTTGTCCTTTTTAAAACACGTTTAAAGTTTTCTGACAGCTTTGCATTCTCTGTAACAAATGCTCGGTACAGTAATTGCACTGATATTCTGCAGAAAGTTAAAATGAAAGATATTTGTAGTTGTTTTATCTCATGAAAATCAGAACATAGAAGCAAATCTTAAGTCATGAGCTATTTGTTTTCAGTATTTTTGTTGCATTTACAGAATAGACTTTGGGGTTTTTTTCCTGCTGTAGAAATTCTAAGAAAGATATTTTTCTTGAGGAGAAGTGTAAGTCTTTCGTTCAGATTCTGTATAGTGCTCATTATAATCCTCTGTTTTGTTGCCAGATTCCACTAGTAATATCACATATGCAATACTGTGTAATCTCATAATGTAATGTCTTAGCATTAGTAGACTTTAAAAGATGATGACTTAAGGATGACTAATGTTAGTCTCTGTTGTTTTTTTTTATGTAGAGTAGCCAAAAATCCTCTGAAAAGTGGTGTTTGTAAGCTGTAGGGAACTTAAAATCTGCTTCTTTCCTTAATTTCAATACACTGCACTTTTAATTTTTTTTTCATTTCATCTTTTTTTTAAATAAGCAATTTTAAAATTAAATGATTGTCACTCAAAATAACTGTATCTGACAGTACGGTTTTCATAATATGAGCATCCCAGCTGATGCTATTCTGAAACGTAATATCGAAATCAAAGGAAGAATAAATAGTGTGTTTGAAGAAAACCAGGTATTTGGTATAACTGTGCTGAACTATACAGTGTTCTGAACGAATGTCCTTAAAGGTTTTTTAACTCAGAAGCTGAGAAGTAAAAGACTGTGCTTGATAAATTCTCATCCCTTTGTTTTGAAGAAAGTGGTTTTGGAAATGCAGATTTTTTTATAATGATCTGTCTTGTTTATTCAAAATCACTAGCTGTGTTCAAGAGTACTGTGTTCTGGAGACAACTGAAAGCAAACAGCAACTGTACTTCTAAGTGCAGAATTCAGGCAGCAGCATTTGTTCTGTTAGATTGGATTTCTCAATGAAAAATCTCCTAGATCCTTCATTGAAAAGACTTAGTTTTCTTCTCAAGAACTGAAGACTTCCACATAGCAATAAAAATTTTAGGTTGTGCTCTAGCATGTGCTATGTTTCTCAGCTTTCTGCCAGTGAGTAAAAAAGTACATACAGATAATGTGCATAGAAAAATACTAGTATCCTGAAATAAAAGTAATTAACCTCTGTGCTGTCTGTATGCAGATTTTCTATTCACTAAGGCAGAAATTAAAATGTGCTGCTAGAATTTTCTCCTTTATTTTTGTTCATTATGTACATTAAGCAGAATAGAAATATTCAGGATAATGATCATATTTGTATCTGAGCAAACTTAAATTTTGGACTTTCCATCCTTTTGATCTATGTGGTCCCTTCCTGGTACTTTTAGCTGCTGTTTATGACAGCATTGCTTATATAACAGACACTAGTACACTAAAACTGTGTTATTTCTTTAGATTGACTTTCTCTGATGTATAAGTATTAGAAATCTTTTTTTCAAAATTATCTTTTTTTCACTCTTGCAGAAAATTCTAAGCTGAGACATGTAGAAAAAGATGTTCTGATTCCACAAATAATGAGGGATCGAGCCAAGGAGCTGTGCTCAGATAAGGTGCAAGGTAAGAGTCAAATATTCATTAGGAGATCAGATGTATTCTGGTATCAGATGTATATTTGTGCCCTGAATATAATCCTTGTTTTTGAAGTCATGTAGTCAGAGAATTAATATGTGTGATCTGCATCTTATCTGTTCACTGTGAAACCAGTACTGAAGCATATAAATCTGCTGTGTTGGCTTTGGCTGCTTGGTGATGTGGACTGTTTTCCAAAATGACTTGTTCTTGAGTGCTGTGGAATTTAGTATGATTAATACAAAACTTTGCACATTTCAGTCTACACTGTGTGGTGACAGAGCCACACAAGAGTTATTGCATTCCTATATGCATTATACATAAAAAGGCTCATGTGAGCCTTCAGTTAGGGCTTCTCTCATTATGATAAATTCATTTAAATGTTCCCAGTATTCCTAACTGCATTCTTTCCCTGCCCCAGCATTTGAATGATATGTGCACATAAACCCACATCTGTTATTAGACAGACATTGAAATAGGGTGATGCAGTCTACTTCTGTTTTCATTTTCTTTTGAAGAGTACTGGACAATAACTCTTTGAAATTGTATCACCACTTCTTCTGACACCCAAGTCGTCTAGATTGGTGCTTTCTAAACTTTTTTGATTGTGCACCACATCAGTAAAAAATTTCTGAGTGCACAATCCCAATATATATATATATTTATTTATAAATTATGTAAATGAACCATTGTACTAGTATGTTAATATGCACTATAAAATATGAAAATAGAAATTAAAAAAGGAAGAGATAAAGATGAAATAAACAGTACTTAAAAATAATTTTTATGCTATTTACCAATAGTACAAAAACACATTTGCTCTGTAAAGTTTACTGTTAATAACAGTATTTTTTATTGAGATTTATATGACTTAACATGCTTCATAATCTTCATTTAACACTGTGATAGAGGAATTTGAAGGTCTGGTTCTAAGTTTATTTTATTTCAATACTTGATTTTAATGGGTGTCATACCTGAAAAAGATATCTCACAAAGATGCATAGATCCCAGTGGAAGAAGTACATTGTTCCTTGCACTTATTAAACTATAGCCATTTTTTCAATCCCATCCACACATTTTGCAAAGGTTTTGCTTAAAATTGGACTAGTAAATGACCATCTCCACAGATGTCCGTCAGTTGTTCTTCAAAACTCATTGGAAGGTGTTGCATATTTATATTTTTAACCCACTGAAACTCTCATTTGGAAGATTTTTGACAGGTTAGAAAATTCTGTTTCTATTCTTTTGAAGTGTACAGATGGAAGAGATTTTTGTAGGTGACACATTCACATTGTGTTTGGCAATAAAACCAACTCAAAAGTCGCATAATGAGGGGAACATATCTGAACACCTGTTTTCAAAATGCTCTGTCCAAAGCACAAGTTTCTTTTGCAAAAGAGTTACTTTCTCACTCGTTGTTAAAACATCATCTTCACCTTGAGGGGACACACTGAGTGTTTAGTTTTTGGAAATTCCTGCTAGGTAACAAACTACTCACACCGCTTGTCATCACCAAAAAGGTCAAAAAATTTGGAACCCTTGTCTTTTTGTAAAAGAAAAATGTGTCAGGTTTGACAACTCCCTTAAGCGTTTTGCCACAAGGTACCCAGCGAACCTTTGCAGGGTGCCCGAGATTTTCATGGCCCCTCCCCATCTCACTACAAGCTGTGGCAAAGCTGCTACAAAGTCTGGTAAACATGCTACTGTTTGAAGGGCTTGTTTTTATAAAGTTACCACATCAGTGTCATCCTGTAGCACTTTGTGCACTCCTGGCTCCAACTGCTTTGCTGGGATAGTTCACCTATGAGTGATGTAGTGAAGTGTTTCACTGTCTCTGTAGCTTAGTCTGGAATCCCTGTTTTATTCCAGTCAAAGCAGCCGCTCCATCAGTGGACACATTTGCGCAGTTTTTCCATAATAAATTGGTTTTTATTCAAGAAGCCACTTCCAGTTGAGAATAGATCTTCTCCAGTTTATCTTTCCTTCAGTGACTCACAAAAAAAGTCCTTGTGCATTTCATTATTGACATGCAAATAAACTGAGAGTACTGTACTGTACTGTACTTTCACCCAACTGTATAGTAAACCTCCCACACTGGGTAACTTGTTCTAATATTTGTTTCTTCAAATCTTCAGCATTGTCTTCTGTGCATCTTCCAACAGTGTTTACTGACAAAGGAGTGCATTTTAGTTTGTTGTCACATTGTTTTCCCTGTATTATTTCAGTGATTTTTACCATGGCAGAAAGAAAAGTTGTTTCCTCAATGGAATGTGGCTTTTTGTGTTTCACAAAAAGAAGCTTCAAAGGAGGCATCTAGACATTTATCACTAGCTTTAAAGTCAAGTCTAGTTAAAATGATCCAGTGTATTTCTAAGCAGCTGCTTTTAGGGGTTCTTCAAAAGATAAAAAAGAGTAGTCTTACAGTAATTTTGATATTGAGTAAGTGGGAAAAGAGTTGGGAATATCTACCAGAGGAAAGTAGCATCACATGACAGGTACCTTTCAGTGGTGTCAGAAGGACTTAATAGACCTTTTTTCATTTGAACAATAGTTGAATCATTTTTACTTTGAACTCCATACCTGTTGGGGGAAAAAAATGAAAATGAAAAGCAATTGCAGTAATGTGGGTCATTGAAAAAAGATGTCAGTTAAGAATAGTCTGAGAGCTTGCTGTTTGTATAATATTGTTTGAGAGTAAACCAAAGGGAGATTGTGTATGTGTTTTTCTCCCCTGAACTTTCTCTGTGTAAGATGAGGACTTTGGTTTCAGCATCTTCATTTTCTGTGGCAGCAACCAGTATTGGAGATTCTTGAGCTGTGAGTTGTAGACTGTTACCTTGCAGCTTCTCTGTTGTTTTGCCTCCATAAATTTTAAAGCCAAATGTTATGGTTTTTCTTTTTCTGTGACATTAGGCGAAACTATAATTTCTTTCTCCTGTATAGAATTCAGTTGTGTTTCTTTAGGAAAATGAGGTTTGTGGATGCATCTGTCTTCCCCTCATTCCTGTCACCTGCAAGCCAGCTTTGATCAAATTGTGTGGCAGTTAGAAGTGCAAACTGAGTATTTCTGAAAAAAATTTTGATCAAACAGGCAAGCAAAAACCCACATTGATACCCTTATTAAAAAATAAAAAGGTGGTAGCATAAGTTCAGCTGTTTTGTTGTACACCTTTTTGTCTGGATGGAGGGGAGAGACCAAACCATGGGAAATGAAGCTTAAGCAGTTTTGTGAACTGGAGGTTTATAATTTCTTAAATCTATTGTGAAATTATTCCTGGAATAAATTTGTCTTGTTAGTACACAGGGATAGGTGTTAATCAGAGTAAATAGGAAATGCTTTTTATGCTGTAAACAATGATAAGCTGTGTAATTAAGTAATCAAAGCTCCTGCGATTCGGTTTGTGTGCTGCAGAGTGTACACACGTGCATGAAATGGAGCTGCTTACATCAAGTGGCATAGCTACTCCTTTAACTTGCTCTCAGTGTAGGATTTTTCTGCTTTATGTTAATTTTGTTTGAAAAACTCCTATTAATACGTTTCGTTTTGTCTTTCGGAAATTGCGGTAAATGCATTGGTAATATAGGAAATAAAGCTATTCCACAAGTGTGGGCCTTTACAATTGGCTTGATCATGCTGGGTTCACATGTGTCCCTATGGGGAGCCCCTATACATTCAATAGTGCTCTGCGTGAGCGCGGGGGTCCATCTGTATCCAGCCCGTTACCTTAGCCTGCAGCTATACCACCTAGAGCTGTGTGCTTATCAGAGCTAATAATGCAAGTAATGACAGCCTGTCCAGCACGTGTTCCAGAGCTGTCCAGGGAAAAGAAACCCCAAGGGTTAAATAAATAAATAAATAAATAAAAAGGTTTTGTTAACTCAAAAAGTGGTCCTGCCGTCCTAGTGCACGGTTGAGTTGGTGAACCGTTGGTTGTTAGCCTACTAGAGTGGTTTAAGGATGAAAAAACCATGAAAATATGTCCATCTGATAATTTTTAAGAACAATTCAGTGTTGTGTCTGGTCATATTTTACTTAGATTAATTTTATTTAGATTATTTAAATTTACTTAGCCCTTTTTTCAGATTGTTCCAGTATAGTTCTTGTGTGTGCTGTGTGTTTCTTAAGAATTTTGTATCTCTCTGTCTCAGAATAATTTTTGTGTGTTTTAAGACTTTCAAGCACTTTTTCGGTGAAAATGGATATATTGGTAATTTTACTAAATTGGTTAGACAATGCTTTCTGGGAAACATTAGTCAGTGTTAAAGGACCATTATGTAAATTGCTTTATTGTATTCATATCCATGCATTGTATGTATGTGAAATCGTGGGCTGCTATATGAGTTACAAAAATAAAAACCAAGCAAACAAGAAAACCCAACAACATTGTCATATGTGGTCTTTTCACTGTATTTTTTACAAACTGTAGCATGTGTTTGCCAGAAATAATATTATATCCATATATTTCTGTATCAGCATGTCCTTCACATTTCAAACCTATGTAACTTAAAGGAACATTTATTAGCTAGTGCCTTGTCCATTGATTTTATGAAATAATTTCTTAAGCTTTTTTCCTGTGGAATTATCAAGTTTTTGGCTTTGATTTCCAGTTGTAAAATTTAGATATGACTAAAAGCAAAATCACAGCACATTTCAGGAACCTGGATTTAGCATTTTTCATCAGAACCGTTCTCTTTAGCATATCAAAACTTCTATATTTTCATCTAGCTGTGCTTTGCTTTCCATTACTGCTCTCTGCTCTCAAACAAGGGACACTCACAAAAAAACCGACAAGAGCTTTGGTTGGTCTTGATCATATCTACAGAAAAGTTTGTCCAATTTCTTGAGAGCACTTACTCTGCTGTTCCAAGTTACGAATTCTGAAACTGAACTTGATGGTTTAAGGTAGAGAAGAACTGTTGGAAACAGAAATATACAAACTTGAAGGACTGTTAACTTAGTTTAATTAAATCAAACTTAGTTTGATTTA